ACGCTTCGGTCCCGTACGAACTCATCCGAACTCGAAATCGAGTTCCGCTTTTTCCTGTGTGTAGCTAACGAGATCCTCTTTCCATTAATGTGATCATGCCCGATAACTTTCCAAAATCTTGCTCTTCCGAGATTTTCGACCGTTTCTTTATTTTATAAATACTCGAAAAATACAAGAAAAATATACAAAAATCCACACAAATACTTAAATATTACAAATCACTAAAAAACTAAAAACTACCCAAAATCCCACAAAATTACTAAAAATACATAAAAATAATAATAAAAAACATTAATAAAAACATAACAAAAATAACACTAACAACTCCCCCACACTTAATTCTTTGTTCGTCCCGAACAAAGATAAAAACTTAAACAAAACAATTCAATCATTTTTTTTCATTTTTTTTATATATATTTTTTTCCTTTTTTTTAATTTTTTTTTATATATATATTTTCTTTATAACACACAATAACAATAAAAACCAAAATAACGTACTCCCCCACACTTAATTCTTTGTTCGTCCCGAACAAAGTTAAAAACGTAAACAAAACAATTCAAATATTTTTTTTTTCATTTTTTTTTTCTTCTTTTTTTTTTATATACATTTTTTCCTTTTTTTTTCTTTTCTTCTTTTTTTATTTATTTTTTTTCTGAATTTTCCTGATTTTTGTTTTAAACACACAAGAAAGCAGTAAATGAAACTTGGGTTGCCTCCCAAGAAGTGCTTATTTAACGTCATTAGCTTGACGGAACCTGTACAAATCAACCAGGATCCAAAAAGAAATGGCGGTCGTGCCATGCCTTTGTATTCTCAAGAAACGACAGCATGGGAAGGGTAGCATGACAGCATACCTGGTAAGTTCGGGTGGCAATGCTCTTGTAGAACCGAGTGTAGGCACCAAGGATGGTAACGAAACGACTCAGAGCTCTTCTCGACAAACCTCCACAGTCATCCTCCCGAAATACGAGAATGTCCGTGGAGCATGTCGAGCTAAATGGGCCCTTCTTGACGGTGCGGAAAAATGACTCGAGTAAGAGACTCTCCAATTCGAGCTCTGGAATTTCCTTCACCATAATATTACCCTCAATCTCTGCGAGTGCATTCTCCTCTTCTTTAGTCTCGCCCACGTGGATTTTGCATTCAATCTCGACTGACTGAGCGTTTTTTGTTATGCCGTCAAGCTTGGCCCTATGGTCGATCTCTGAAATTATGAACATGTCTGTGGAGCATATCGAATCCATTTCGGTCGGAAGCAAATGCATGGATTCACTAGACTTCTCCAAATGTTCAACATCCTTGATGACATGCAATGACGACCCAAAGGACATGGGAACCACTGCGTACTCAACATCATAAGTCGAGTCGTTCATCAATGCACACTCCGTGTCAATGACCTCATATAATGACTCGACATCCTTCTCGACTTCGTCCACGACATCATGAATTATCTCCTCCTTGGCATCACTCGGCACAATAGAATCCTCCAATGAATTATCCTCCATACCATGCACTGTATCGTCCTTTGAGTCCACACACTTACTCTCATCAATAGCAATCGAACTCAACGCACAATCACCGGAATGTAGGTTTGACGTGGTTTGCAATCCCAGATCATCATGAGAGGAGATTCTTCTAACATACAAATCGCCGATGTCCTCACTCGTGTCGAGAGATTGTGTTCCATCGTAGATGAGAATGAGGTCCGCCTCTTTGAGAGAGACAAACTGTTCCACTATAGCTCGAAATTCGCCCTCTAACCATGCACTTTCTTGACAAACTTTTTCCGATATAGAAGTATATCTACCAATCGGAATATGAGATGTGTCCAAGTCGAGGAAATCAACTACGGTAGAGTCGAACTTCATGAGTTGAGTTTGAAGTACGGATGGAACTGGAATGATCCTCCAATTGTGAAACTCATCTATGATCGTTAAGAGGCTCGCAAGCACCTCTTTAGTGTTTGTCAAAACTTCTTGGTGGCAATCGGTAGGCACAAACGTTGTTTGAATTAAAGTTTCTATCATTGATGTACAAGGTTGGCCAATCGATTGATGCTCATAAATAGGAGAGGATAGAGCATTGAACTCGGATGGAGGTACTGAATAACAATATTCGGGGAGCGAAGGATAGTGGTAGTCGGAAGATGAAGGTTGGTAATAAGGCGTCTCGTAGTGATTTGGAGTGTAATAATCATATCCGCCTTGAGATGTCGTGTAAGAATGGCTGGGGCCATACTCTTGTAATGTAGAGTATCCGTCATAGCAATAAGAATTTGAATAGTTGGGATACGGATAGGGCGGCCCTCCATATGAGTGCATCTTCTTTTGGTAGTTGTTGGGGTATCCAAGAGACGAGCCTCCGGCATAACCGCATGGGTCCATCGGAGCTCCGTAAGGAAAACACCTCGCACAAGAAAAACAAACAAACAAGACACACGAGAACAAAAATATATATATATATATATAATTTTTTTTTACGATTTTCATAAAAATATATAAAAAAATAAAAGAAATGGAAAATAACAAAATCAAGAGAAACACTGAAATTAAGCAATTATCACATAATATATTTTTACAATTAATAATTTTTTTTATATATTTTTTATTATATTTTTATATATATATATATATTTTTATTTCTTAATAAATTTTTTTACTAATTAAATCAAATAAAAAGAAGTGAGCAAAAAACTAAAAGAAAAAAATTACAATTTATATATTAATAAAAAAAATCGAGAGAACTACAAAAAATTAAGAAAAATCACAAAAATGAGAGAAAAAAATGAGACAATTAAATATCTAACTAGGCATCCTATTACCTTCTCCGGCAACGGCGCCATTTTTGTTGCATTTTTGTTATATTTTTTGTTCTTCTTTTCCCCTCATTTTTCCTCGTTTTACGTCATTTAGTGAGTTTTTAGTTCGTTTTGTGTTTTATTATGTGTTTTGTTCCATTTTGGTTTTCTTTGTGTTTTTCGTGTGTTTTTCCCGTTTTTTCTTCTTGTTTTTCATTTGCAGGTCGAAGGCACCGTGAGAGAAAGACATGGACAGGGAAATCATGGTTATCTAGATGGACGTATTGGCTACATATAGGAAAAACCGGAATGTGATTTTGATTTGGGATGAATCCGGACGGAACAAAAAACGCGAAGCCGCGCAAATTACCGACCCTTTAAAGATTGGAAATTCCACATAATTTGTACTCTGGGCAAAAGTGTGGTTTGAAAGCATCATTGGATAGAGGGGTTCGTTAGCGACGCATAGAAAAAAACGGCACTCAATTCCGAGTTCGGACGAGCCCAAAACGAGCCCGAGAAGCAAAGCCGACCGAGACGTGCGCGAATGCGCGCGAAAAAATACCCTCTCGGATTTTGTCCGAAAATTTCACATTTTCTCTCAAATTTCCTATCTTCTTTCACCTTTTCTTCCATTTTTCTTTGGTAGTTAAATTGTGGTTGATTTTTAGGTGAATTGTGGTTGATGTTGGTGAAGTGTGTTTGATTATATTTCTATAAATAGCTAGAACATCCAACATTTTATGTAATTTATCACCTTCCATGCAAGCTTGAACCAAGGGGGGTTCTTCCCCTCTTCCCTCTTCATCTTCTTCTTTTTATTTTCTTTTCTTATTGTATGTTGTATTTGGAGAAGCTTGTATATGGATTCAACATTTGAAGATTGTTATGTAAGTTTACTTTCTCTTTAAATTAATTCATGCATAATGGTTAATTTAGGAGAAATATTTTGTTGTGTTGAATTTATTTATATGTAGCTAATCTTTTAGCTAGGGGTAGGGGATAATCATTTCGGTTTAATCTCGTTTATATGCA